ATTCCCATCCTAATTATGGTGCTGGTTTTGTAGGTGTATTATGTTAAACCTGATCAAATCATTCATTTACACACTGGAAGTTTATTGTATATTAATTATAACTTAGTAAAAGCAGTCTTAAACATCTCAAATTTGAGCTTTTAGATAATAGTATGGCCTACATTTTCCAGGTGAGTCAGGAAGTGTTTTCCTGCAGCAACATAAAGTGATAGTCATGGTCTACAGTGCCTGCATGATATTCCAGAATATTTTTGGCTCTGAGACATTTAAAATTCATCATAGAGCTAAATTCAGGGCAAAATCACAGCAATGGTATAAAAGATCAGTGGTTGCCAGAGAACTGGGGAGGAGGGGGAGCGACTGAAGCACACGGCGTATTTCAGGGCCGTGAATCTGCTCTGCGTGATACTGTAATGGTGGGTACTTGTTTATCAAAACCCAGACGACTTTATGGCATACAGAGTTAACTTTATTTTATTTTTTCAGAACTGGGAATTGAACTCAGGCCCTTGAGCTTGCCAGGGAAGCGCTTATTCTACTGAGCCGCCTCCCCGGCCCCTCAGAGTTAACTTTAGAGTGTGCGAATTAAAACATATTGAGGTTGGGGGATTCTAAGATGAATACAGAATGTAACAGAAGGATCTACCTGTCAACTTTTTTCCTGTTATAAATTCAGGAAACATTCATAGGGGCGCTTGTCTGGCAAGCGCAAGGGCCTGAGTTCAATCCCTGGTTCCACAAAAAACAAAACAAAACAACAAAACATTCATGGGGCAGTGGAGAAGATGAAGGGGCACCTCAAGGGGCAGTGGAGAAGATGAAGCAAGAAGGAAGGGGATGATAAGGCCCCCTGCCTGTGCCACGCCCAGGAGCCTCTGGTTTTTCCATTGCACATGACTTGGGCCGGGGACATAGCTCAGTGGTGCAGCACCTGCCTGGTGAGTTGCAAGGTCATGAGTTCAGTTCCCAGTTAAAGGAGAAAAAAAAAGAATCCAGCCATTACGCATGACTCGGGTTTCTCCAACAAGCAGCATTTCCTCCTGATGAAAAGTGGCTATGTCTTTGTGGAGGACAGAGTGGGCTTGGGGCTGGAAGGACCCCGGGACCACACTGCAGCTCTGCCACCCTCTCTCCAGCTGGTGGGCCTGTGGGCACTTTTATCCTGTCCAGGTCTCATTGTCCTGGTGCATACCACAGAGTGACAGGAGCGGCAGCCTCCAACGACGTGAAGGCTTTAGTGAGGCGGAATCTCTGCAGAAATGCTACAAAAGGGGCACCCTACTACTCAGAGACTTCACTGGCCCAGCCACACTTCCACCCCTGCATCCTCCCCTGCACCCACACACCATGCCTTCATCCCTGCATCCGTCCATGCACCCCTGCATCCCTGCACCGGTCCTGTATCCACCCACCCATCCACCGCTGCATCCACACATCCGTCGCTGCATCCACTCATCCACCCACCCATCTTTCAGAAGCAAAGTATGGAGTGCATCTACTGTGAGAGTAGCGAGAGTGGTGAACACAGTGGTCAGCATGGAATGTGACACCTGACATGTGTCTTGAGGGAAAGAGGGTACCTGCTGCGCAGTGACTGAATTTCTGAAGAGCAGCTGCCATCCTGGGAGCGCTGCGTGCAGGGCGCCCCCGCGGGCCTCCCTGGGCCCACCTCCCTGCTGAGACCCGGCCCAGTCCAGGAGCCCAGCCTGCTGGCTTGGCCTCTCCAAGCCTCCCACTCGCGAGCGCCCTGCTCTGCGCGTTCGCCTACTCGCCGCTGCAATGGTGCTGAGGCTGCCACCTGGCCTTTCAATCTGCGCAGCTCAGGAGGTGATGTGAGCCTGCCCTGCCCACCGCAGGCCTCCGAAGGTGACTCGCTTGGTGTCTCAGGGAACATCTGGGAGGAGGGCGGGCTGGCAGGTGCTCCTGTGGGGCCCAGGTCAGAGTCTCGCTGCTCTGCCCTGTGGTGCTGCAGCTGCGTCTCCTTGGGGCTCCCTGAGGGCTGGGTGTTCCCCCATCTTCCCCCTAGTTAGGTCCAGCTGGCTGGCACCTTGGGTGGGCAGTGGGGCTGGGGCTGTGGCCACGGTGTGGGTCCTGCGCCCACCTCACATCCTGCCCCAGAGGGACTCTGGCCCAGCTGGTGAGATGAGCGTTCAGTGACTTAGTTTCCCATTCTATAATATGGATGAGTAATGAAACAGAGATGGGGCTTGTGTCACAGGGCCTGAGGCCACATGTTTGCCTGGTACATTGCGGGAAGGGGCACAGTGAGGGGTGTGAGGAGCGGGCTCTCAGGGCCTCAGCATGGGGGAAAGATGCTCCCCACCGAGCAGGCCCGTGACTGACCTGCATCCCTGAGGAGGGTGGGCCACACAGAGTCAGAGTTCTCTGGGGAAGATGAGACAATACAGTGCGCATGTGTGTGTGTGCGAGTGCACGTGTGTGCGCGCGTGTGCGCGTGTGTGTGCATGTGCATGTGTGTGTGTGCGTGTGTGAGGAACTGGCTCTGGAAATGACGGGTCTGTGTCTGAGGCTGCAGGCTCAGGAGTGGTGCCTGGAGGTGAAATGCCCCCTTTTCCCTTCAGGCTGTCAGCTGAGTGGGTGAGGCCCTGCACACGGCCTGGGCCTCTGCTTGGAGCAGCTTTGTGGCAGCCACACAGGACTGGTGTCCAACCAGAAGCTGCGCACACGCCCAGCTAAGTGGGTCTGCACTTAGCGTCACTTGGGACAACCGAGCAAGGGGGCTGGGCATGTTCCCTGGCAGGGTGGGGTCCATTTCCTTCTGTCTCTTGCTGGCCTCCCCCACCCTGTTTCCTGGTGAGTCAGTTTGTGGGCACAGAGTGGGGCCATCCCAGAAGCTGTGACGTCTGTGCTGCCTCCTCCCTGCGGTCACAGCCGTAAAATCGGAGCAGTTCCCCGGAATGTGTCTTGTCCAGGAAACACTGCGGGTGTGGGGTCCACCTGGTATAGGCCCAGCAGTCAGCCCCTGGCCCAGCAGCGCCCACCTGTGTTGGGCGGGGCAGCATCTCCACCCGGCTGCACATCCTTGTCACCAAGTGGGTACCGCCCAGCAGTTCTCAAGGTGCCCAAGCGCCTTCCCCTTGCCCTGGGTCCTGGTGGAGCAGTTGCAGGGTGCTGGGGGTCCCCTAGGCTGGGGAGGGGACCAGACACCAAGAGGGTGGACAGGAGGAAAGGCCACATCCTTGTGCCTGTTAGTCCTTGCACTCTGGTGGGCCTGGATCCCTGCTGCAGCCCCATGCTGACATCTTCCAGCTTGTCCTCATCCTGCAGCCAAGCACTGTTCCCCATGCAGGCCTGACCTGTGGACCACCCTGAGGGCTGGGGTCCGGTCCTCACTGCCTGCTGTGAGTTGGGCTGCTGCATCACAGCTACAGAAGCCTGGAGATCCTGGGAGGGGCAGAGAGGGCAGTGGGTGCCCCCCTCTTCTGGCAGTGGTCACCACCACTGCCCCGAAAAGAGAGGACACAGGGTTGGCCTTCTCCATCAGAGAGGACCCATCGCTGATGCAGGGGATGCAGACCCAGAATGCACCCCTCTTTCTAGGCCCAGGAGACCTCTCCTTCCCTGCCTAGGGAGGGCCCACCCCTCAGCTTGGCACAGGTGGTTGCGGTGAGCGTCCTGCCCCTCACCAGGATGAGGATAAGGAGCCTGCATGGAAAATCACCACCTGGCAGGCCTGGATTTGGCCAGGGCTCAGGGCCAGCACGGGAGGCCCACCTGGCCAGGGGCACAATGGTGCCCTCGGCTCGGCTGGCTCTGGTTCCCTAATCCCTGCTTCCCTGGCATAGCCTGCACAGTTCCTTTGCCCCATGTGCCCCGGCTGCTGGTCACAGGGCCCTGTTGCTCCTCGCTGGCTCTGACTGGCTGGGTGCAGGGGTCCTGAGGCTCCCATGGCCTGACAGCGCCCTTGTGAGGAGCTCTGCCAGGCCAGCAGGGCATAAGGGGAGCCTCCCTGCCCAACGGGCGATCCCCTCGTGACCCCAGGGGCCAGTCTTCACTGCACGGCACCTGAAGTTAGAAACTAAACCCAGGATTCACCTGTTTTCAGGAAAAGGGAAGTGTAGAGTGGGCTGGACCCTGGGCCTTGGTTTACCCCTGGCTGCAGGCAGGCACCTGTCTGTGCCCCTCCACCCCTGAGGGGACCTTAGTAGGCCAGACTTGGGGGCTCTGCACCATGACTCCTCATGATGTGGTAGCAGCAGGCTTTGAGGCTCCCCAGAGACCCCTCTCCGGCCCAGCCCTCTCCCCTCATCCCCCTGTGTGCAGGGGACCTGGTTCCCATAAGTGTCCAGGGCTGGGCGGTGCTCCCCAACTTCTAATTACATGTAATTCCGGAGACTGGCTTAGCCTTGGAAAAGGCTGGGATTAGGCAGTGGACAGTGGGGGGGTCTGAGGTGCCTGGTGAGCTCCCAGGACCCTAGTCCTCAGCCATGTGGCCACCACACCCTGCCCTTGAGGCTGCTCCTCACTGTGATGGTTGGGTGGGCTTGGCTCCTGGGTGGCCTGGCTGTCTCAGCCCATTCTGCCTAGGAGCAGTAGTCTGGGAAGGCGAGGCTGGGGGGCGAGCCTGGGCAGAGAACCCGAGCCTAGAAGCCTGAGCTCTTCTGGGGCATGGGCCTGGGGTGTGGGAGACAGGGAGGGATGCAGAGACTGCCAGGATGCGATGCTGAGCGGGACCCCCATCCTGCTTGCCTGGGGTCTGGTCCCGCAAGGTCCACCTTGGGCATGTGCTGGCATTGGGCACGGGGTGGCTGCATCCTGAGGAAGCCGGTTTACCTGGAGAGCCATAAAGAGATAAATCGAGATAAGGTAAATCAATATTGCCCGGTGGCGGCCACGCTCTCCTGCAGCTGTTGGCATGATAATCCGGTGGATGCCCCACCTACCTCCCCCTCTCTCCTTCCACCCGCCCAGCACCCACCGGGCATAAAAGTCCCTGACCCCTGGCCTGGGTGCTCTCCGACTCAGCCTTCTGAGCCATCATGGGGCTGCCACTAGCCCGCCTGGTGGCCGCCTGCCTGGCCCTGGCCTCGGCCTGGGGCTTGGAGGTGCAGAGAGGTGAGAGGGCAGATGGGCAGGGAAGGGCTCGCATTCGGGAGGAGGCTGTGTGGTCCTGGGTGCAGGGCGGTCCATGCCTGGCCTTTGGGGCCTCATCTACATGGGGTCTTAGGTGGCTCCGCTGTGCAGGGGTCTTGGGGCCCAGCCACCTCTGGAAGTGTCCTGGCGAAGGTGGGCAGCCACACAGCTGAGGAGGCCATGCCCTGGGGTGTGGGGCAGCACAGGGCACCCAGAGGGGGTCCCAGATGTCAGGGATTATGGAGGGTGAGGGGATTTTGGGGCCCACTCTGGAAGTGGGCTGTGTCTACTGGGGGCAGGGGGTGGCTTCAGTCACAGGGCACTGGCCAACCTGTCGGCTAGGGTGGCCTAAAGCCATAGGGGCCTTGTGTATGTATGGGCTACACCTCCTGGAGGGGTGTCCAGGGTGTTCTGTGGCTGCGGAGGACTCCTCTGAGGGGCTGCGAGGGGCTGCATGGGCACCGGGGCTCACTCTGCCCCTGCACCCCCCAGTGGGCCAATCCCGAAGCCACAGCCACAACGTCTGCAGCACCTGGGGCAATTTCCACTATAAGACCTTCGACGGTGACATCTTCCGCTTCCCTGGCCTTTGTGACTACAACTTCGCCTCCGACTGCCGTGACTCCTACAAGGAGTTTGCTGTGCACCTGAAGCGGAGCCCCGGCCAGGACGGCAGCCACCCCCAGGTGGAGTCTGTGCTGCTGACCGTCAAGGACGACACCATCTACCTCACCCGGCAGCTGGTTGTGGTGAACGGGGCCATGTGAGTGGGCAGGCGCGTCCCCGCATGTGCCCCAGCAACTGGGGGCACTGCTGGTCTTTGGGGCGGACAGGCGCTAGGGCAGCATGCAGGTGCCCAGCAGCCCCTGTAGCCCCTTCTGCCACGGCATGTGGCTAGGAAGGAGAGACTTGCAGTTCCAGTGGGGATCAGGGTTCATTCAACAAAGGCAGATGAGTCCCACCAGAGCCCTCCTCGAGCCCTCCTCCCATGAGTGAGGGGTTCCCTGTGGCCTGGCCCCTCAGGCCTGCCAGGGGTCTGGGATGGGGTGCCTGGTGGCTGTGGCGCAGTTCCCCAGGCTCAAGTTACAGAAGTGGGCCAGCTATTGTCCCCATATTGTCTCCAGAACAATGCGGCCCTCTTGAATGTATTCCTGTCCAGCGGGTTCCCTGCCCTCTGGATTTGCCCTTTTCCTGTTCAGGGGCTTCTGTTTCCCACCAGGCCACATCTCAGGGTAGATGGGTGGTGGCTGAGGGCAGATGGGGGGGAAGGGCATGGGGGTGTATGAAGTGGGCACCTGGGCCCTGGGGGAGGGGCCTGGAGGTCGCTGCAGCCTCAGGATGGCCAGGAGAGAACGCCTTGAGGGCTGGGTGCTGTGGCATGCCCCAAAGGAGCCGGCCAGCCCCGGACAGTGTCCCAGCCCAGCCAGTCTGTCTGTGGCTCCCGGGGCCAGCCCCACCCCAGAAAGCATGGCCTCTGCACCCTGGGCAGCGGCTGGAGGGCACACCATGGCCCTGGCTGATGGTGACCATGGACGCCCCACTCGCAGGGTCAGCACCCCGCACTACAGCGCAGGGCTGCTCATCGTGAAGAGTGACGCCTACACCAAGATCTACTCCCGAGCTGGCCTCTCGCTCATGTGGAACCGCGAGGACGCACTCATGGTAGGCATGGCGGGTGGGGCTGCAAGGGCCCTCGCTGGGGATGGAGAAGGCTGCAGGCGAGTGTGCCCAGCCCACGGAGACCTTCATGTGTAGGGACCCCTAGGGCTGGACCCTGCTCTCCTCCCCACCTGTCCCATTTGGAGCTGGCCCGGACTCGGGGCTCCGGTGGCTCTCCTGACCCGTGGTCCCTTCCTCCCATTCCCACAGCTGGAGCTGGACAGCAGGTTCCACAACCATACCTGCGGGCTGTGTGGTGACTACAATGGGCTACAGACCTACTCGGAATTCCTGTCTGAAGGTGGGCACAGGCCTGTGAGGGTGGTGGCCGGTGGGGAGGACCGCGGCAGTGGCTGACCACTGAGCTCTGTGGCCAGGAATCAGCTTCAGTGCCATCGAGTTTGGGAACATGCAGAAGATCAACAAGCCCGAGGAGGAGTGTGAGGACCCCGAGGAGGCGGGCCTGCCTGAGTCCTGCTCCCAGCACGTGAGTCACGGGCAGGCCCATCTCCAGGGTCTCGAGGTCCCTGAGTCTGCCGGCCTTGGTCGGAGAGTCTCGTGCCCATGGGAGGGAAAGGGGCACGAGCAGACACCTACCCACGTCCCTCCCCAGCGCGCTGAGTGTGAGAGGCTGCTGACGGCTGAGGCCTTCGAGGACTGCCAGGCCCGTGTGCCGCTGGAGCTGTACGTGGAAGCCTGCATGCACGACCGCTGCCAGTGCCTGCAGGCCGATGGCTGTGTCTGCAGCACCATCGCTGAGTTCTCCCGTCAGTGCTCCCACGCAGGTGGCCGGCCTGGAAACTGGAGAACAGCGTCTTTCTGTGGTGAGTGCCGGGGCCGTGCCGGGGCCCGGGAGCCCTTGCTTGCCCGCTCGCCAGCTCACAGCTGCCTCTCCTCCCAGCCAAGAGCTGCCCTGGCAACATGGTGTACTTGGAGAGTGGCTCACCCTGCATGGACACCTGCTCCCACCTGGAGGTCAGCAACCTGTGTGAAGAGCACCACATGGATGGTTGCTTCTGCCCCGAAGGTGCGTGCTGGACAAACGACCCAGGGATGGTGGGCAGCGGGCCACCCCCAGGACTGGAGGTACCTGGCTTGTGGCCCGGCCCCAGGAGCCTGGGGCTCTCTGAGCCACCAGGGTGATGTTGGGTCCGTGGCCTTGCCAGGCACTGTGTACGACGACATCACGGGCAGTGGCTGTGTCCCTGTCAGCCAGTGCTACTGCAAGCTCCATGGCCACCTGCATGCCCCGGGCCAGGAGGTGACCAACGATTGTGAGCAGTGGTGAGTGCCGGTGCCCGGGGCTCAAGCTGGGCAGTCCCGGGGTCGGGGCCGTGCGGTGAGCCCTGACCCTGTGCCCCACTGCCTGGCAGTGTCTGCAACGCTGGCCGCTGGGTGTGCAAGGACCTGTCATGCCCTGGGACCTGTTCCCTGGAGGGCGGCTCCCACATCACCACCTTTGATGGGAAGAAGTTCACCTTCCACGGGGACTGCGACTACGTCCTTGCCAAGGTGGTGGCCGGGCAGCGGGCTGCTGTGTGTACTGCCCCCGGGTGGTGGGCGGCCTGGCCCTGAAGAGGGCGCTCGTGTGCTCATGGGTGGAGAGTGATCCCTCCTGCGTTGCTGCTGGGGAGGTTCTGCTGTAGCATCCCCTCACTCTCCACAGGGTGACCACAATGACTCCTATGCCCTGCTGGGCGAGCTGGCCCCCTGCGGCACCACGGACAAGCAGACCTGCCTGAAGACAGTACAGCTGCTGACCGACAGCCGGAAGAACGTGAGTGCCCCTCATGCGCCAGCCCCTTTAGCTGCTGCCTGCTCCTGACCTTGGCTCCTCCTGCAGGTGGTGGCCTTCAAGTCGGACGGCAGCGTGCTGCTCAATGAGCTGCAGGTGACCCTGCCCCACGTGGCTGGTAAGAGCCTGGATGGCCCTGAGTTTTCTGGGGTTGGGACCAGGCAATGGGGTGGTGCCTCTGTGGGGGCAGGTGGGGGCTTCAGTGCCATCTGCCTCACCACATCCCACCCTACAGCCAGCTTCTCCATCTTCCGGCCATCCTCCTACCACATTGTGGTGAACACGGTCCTCGGGCTGCAGTTGCAGGTTCAGCTGGTGCCTGTCATGCAGCTCTTCGTGACGTTGGACCCATCGGCCCAGGGGCAGGTGCAGGGTGAGTGGCTCCCCGGCAAG